AAATTAAATGAATTCAGAAATTGAAAAATGACTCTTTCTTTCATTTTCTTCTGGTTCCTATCTACATGTAGGCTTTCGCTTATGTTTTTAGGATAGAATATTATACTGTGAAGGTCATTTTAGATTATATCGGCCCGAAAATTTTGCATCATTTATCTCTTCGCATGAAAACCTGTTATGTTCGTCCTATGAGAAATCGAGATTTTTCGACATAAATTCCTCATGTAAGACCGAAAGTTCGTTGTCATCAATAGTACCGTTTTTGTAGCTCAAGCGAAACTGGTCGTGGAGCTCGTGAAAGGAAGACATGACAAAATTTTTTGATAGTTTTAGGTCGATGTTCGCAAGGACTCAGCTCTATTTACATGTACTTGGACTTGGTTTTCACGCTGTGAATGACGTCCTCGACCCAGTCCTACAGCAGTTTTAATCATCGTCGTCTCATTCATCATCGGTGCTTAAGGTCCCTATTACTTTTCACTTGACCGCCAAAAAAAATTGTATTTTACAAATTCAGTGCAAGAATCAGGTGCTGTTTGTTTATCACGTCCTCCAGTCCCTACGTCCCACGTCCTCCAGTCCCCACCCGTGCTCGCGTCCCTACGTCACCACGTCCCAGTCCCCAAGTCCCCATCCCACTTTTAGTCACAGCCAAAATAATGCTGCAAAAAACTGTCATGATGAAAAAGCTTTAACAAAGCAAGCAAAAAACAATTATCTGCTAAGACATACAGTCAGATTTCCTGACCATATTCTAGGGTTAACTTGTTTTTAGGCTAATCTGCTTCCCAGCCATGTGAGTTTATAGTCTGAAGATATAGAGGAGGGAGGAAAACCAAAGAACCTATTAAAAACCAGCAATGAACTCAACCCAATCACAACATCGGGTTGTTTGTAAGATCATGGTACACCTACCTTGAGCATTAAAGCTTCCTACATCTGTTAATAAATATTATAAGATTATTATTCTTTTATGTTTGCAGACCTGGAGAGGCTTCTATCTGGGTGGCGTGATTTTCCTAACTCTAGTTTCACTGGCACTTCAATTTCATCCTTCTTTCCTTACATCACGCTGGGCTATCAAAAGGCTTCTTCTGTTCAGTAGCTTGGTTGCATATGGTGTGGGTCCTTCACTTCACTGGGTGTTGCTGCTTGGTGGATGGAGTGACTACACTGTGAGGGTATGTGTTGAACTGTAACATAACATGTTCGTCTTTGGCTGGGTTGTTCAAAGCCTGATTAAGCTCACCCCTGATTAGCTAGAATTTTGATTTTTGTCTAACGCTTGTCCTTCTGTTTTGAGTTGGATTAATCTGAAACTACACAACACAAGCAGTGAAAAACATTTTTTTTACATAAAATGATACTTCGTTTTATATATAATCCTCGCTTAGCGTTAACCGGCTTTCAAACAACCCAGCCCCGCTATTGTCTTTCTCTCAACCGGCTTATTTTATAATTAGGTGCTACCCGCTGCTTAGCAACAACTTCTCCCTGAAAAAAGAAAAAAAAGCTCTGTTTCCTGTAGGAATTTCCAGTGACCTTCATTGATGCTATCGCATACATCTCACTAATTTTCCGTAGGAATGCCAACATGCTTTCTTTACATGGAGTCATGTGGAAGCACAGATGTCCAGTATATTACAAAAAAACGGGAATGCAAGCTTTGTACTGTTCTGTTGTTAGCGAGTCATTTAATAGACCAATTTCGATATATTAAAATTCAACCTAAAACAATAGATCTAAGTATGAGGCTCTGGGGAATACCTACAGAGTTTGTTGGGTTTATTTCCCAGAGCCTCATGCTGAGGTCTATAGTGTTAGGCTGAATTTTAATATAATGAAATTGATTTATTGGGCTGTAATTCTATCATCAAGAGCAGTTTTCAAATGAGTGTTGTAAAATCAAAACCAAACCAATTACTTACATGTACCAATTAGATATTAAGTAATCTCAAACCATAGTAAAACCAAACCCAACAAAATTGCCTGATTACTTTTGAGACTCAACTGAAAATTGCCCTAAGGCAATTCTTCATTTGGCTTAACAAGTGAGTAACAATATATTTTATCTTTCAGCTATTTATACCAAAGGTGGCTGTGATGTACTTGCTTGGAGTGTTGGCATTAGGATTTTATGCATTGAAAATACCAGAACGTTATTTCCCAGGTAGTGATTGTGTTGTACTCTAAAATTCTGAAACTGAGCTGGTGCTTACATGTACATGTACACTGTATTCAGATTTTTTTCTGTCCAAGAAAATTATCACTTTTGGCAAATGCTTCTAAAACTGTTATAATAATGATGAATGTTATTTACGTAAGTTGCAAATGATTATAAGTAGTGTATATTTTTTCTTCTGCAGGTAAACTCAACTACATAGGATCTAGTCATCAATGGTGGCATCTATTTATTTTATTAGCTTTTTACTGGTGGCACAGATCAAATGTCATCTACATGAAGTATAGACTGAAGTATCAGTGTTCAACGCATTATGAACTTCCATCTTCTGACGTGCCTTTTGAACTTTAATATTCCCATATATTTTTGTAATTATAAACATACTGAAAAATAAACTAATATACTTTCAATAAAAACTTTTCTTGTTGTTTTTCGTGTTGTTTATCTGCGAAACCATCCTGAATTTGTTTCTTGAGATTGAATGCTAACAAGGCTAATACAAGCCATAATCCCCTCTATGACCCCAAAGAGTGTTACCTAGTCTGCCCTGTCTTTCACTCTTTATGAGGACGGCTCTGAATAACTTCACTTCACCAAAGATCTACAGTATAATTATGTATACTATTGATCCCAGTCAAGCACTGCTGGTTTCAGCCGCTGAATAAAAACAAAAGTGACCAGATGATTACAAACATCTTTTGGCTACAGTTTGCAGCACAGCTGTTGCAAATTCCTCAAAAGTGGCAAGTTCGAGGCAAATCTTATCCATGCAATGAATTTTGCATCAGTCAAACTCTTCTCTGTAACACATCTTGAATTGTATCTTGCTTGAAAGTGAGAAACTCAACAAACTTGCAAACAAACTGTGAAGCACCTTCCCTGACGATGAGATTCACTCATCACATGATCATGACATTCATCATCACATGATCACTTTTTCTGAATCCCTGAATGAAACTAACAGTGCATGTAATGACCCGAAAAAAACAAAAGCAATTTCAACAGACGTCTGGGATCATTAGTATCATTATTATAATAATTATTATTATCATTATCTTTTGTTTGTGCACAAAAAAAAATTAGTAGACACATAGTCCACAATGCATCAGTACTCTTTTAAAGATTTCCTTGTTTGGCTGCCATCTCTATCTTACTCTTTAACACTGTTTTACAGTTTTACTTGTGATAAAACTGAGTTAATTTCAAGTTACACCTAACTCAGGAGTCATCTGTTACTGAAGAAATAGAGTGGAGACTGGCCAACCTTTGCTTTGCACTGAATTGCTTCCCAAGCCGTTTTGACAGTGGAGCAGGCATGTAATCATCAAATGGAGAGGCAGTGTTTTCTTTCCAAGACTCGTATTCTTGGAATTTACCAACACTTTCACAGGAAGAAATTTCATCAACACTGTCACAGTTTTCTTCCTCGTGAGAATCAATTGCTTGCATGGAGGGCTGGAAACTGTTGTCTAAGATTGTATTTGCTGGTTCTAGGACTTTCCTTGTAGCTTTTGTAAGTTCTTCCTTGTTTTTCTTAGCACCAAGGTTGGCATCTCCTTTGAATGAGCTTGTATTTGACTTTGCACATGAAACATCCTGCAAAATACTTGCCAAACAACCTTTACTATTTGTTATAACTTCTCTACCATTTTCTGCGAGGACACTGGTGCAGTCAGTATCACAAGGAAACCCCAATTTGGCATGCTGCAGTGGTGTGTGAAGGAATTTAACCATCTCTGAAGAATCAAAAACATCATGCAATTTGTTCCTTGAAATAGTGCCACCGAGCCTCGTGTCACATGTTTTTGTTCCACCCTCCAACTTCGTTGAGCAAGAAGACTGTTTTATTACAAAAGATTTGTCATCAACTTCTTCATCACTGGACCCAAAGATCTCGATAAGATCAGCATCACTTAGCTTTGACTTTGACGGTTTCTCATTCTGCCTTTGGGTACTCGTAGGACTCTTTCCATGACCCTTGTTGTTGTCTCTAGTCATGACAACTCTTTGAATTCCAGTGCACGGAATGGGTTTTAATTCTTCTAATTTCTTTCTTTCAAGTGATGTCACTGGCCATTCAATAGGCTTATCATTGTTACTGTTCACGTTTCGACTATCATAGTTATAATAATCATCAGTATTAACGCACTCTAACACACGCTTTAGATCTGGGATAGCTTCAACACCCTTCACGGATGAAGTAGCTAATGTTTGAGACTTCTCATTAATCTCAGGCTCATTGTCATGATGCACACTATACATGTATCCTAGACCTTCTGTCTGTAAAGGCTTTAAGTCCCACTGAATGTCATCATCATTGTGATCATCATCACTATCATCACCAACACAACCATCCTCCTCATCATCATCATCACCATCATCAGTCCTTGGGCTACCAATAGCAGCAACTGAAAATTTCCTTTTCATATCATTCCTCATTGCAGAAGGACTTGATTTCTGGATGCCACATGATGAGTGACCATTACTATTTGATGGAAGTATGGAATCAATAATGTCTTGCAGAGATTCATCATTGGAATACTCAGAGACGGCACCTTCTGCAAAATGGTTTTCATTTTGTGCCATGCTAATGTGGCTTTGTTCAGATGACTGATACACACTTAAATCTTCCAGTTGCTTTGAGAGAAATTCCACCTCATTTTCGTAGTCATCAGACACTGATGGGAGCTTGGCAGTTTGCTTCTTTTCTGTAATGAACACAATGATCACAGGTGTTGTTATCAGTGATATTCATACATACTGGCACTAACTTGTTTCTTTGCTTCACATAGTTGTGTGTAGTGACTGGACGACCTGCTTCCAGTACAGTGTACATTCAAACTGATATTACCGGTGTATAGCACTGTCTATATCTGGAACAGGCCAAAGATGCATTGGGCCAAGTGGTCCATATCACCTGAGCTTATTGTAGTTTTTGTAGAATTACTATTAACTGGCTAACAGTATTTCTACTCACCCCACCCCCTTTTGCTGGGTGAGATGGTAAGTCCATCACAAGGTTACCATCAGCATTAATAAATGAAATTATTCTCCAGTGCCAAATGGGGATAGGCACTTTGGGAGTAAAGTGCAAACAACACAAGCACACAACACAATGACCACAGCCATGGCTTGAACCCAAACCACTTCATCTGGAGTTAACAACTAGCCTACTACACCAGATCTCTTATCAAATCAGGACATAGACTCAGAACTATCTAATAATATCTTAGAATGGCACCCATAAGGAATGAAGAGCTGTATGAAGACAGTGGGCCTGACCCTGCCTCCTCTAGAAAGACTTTTCTGTTTTTCTTAGTGTAAAGAGTGATTGGGAGACTGGGATTGAGCAAGAAAGTGTGAGCTGGATCTGGTAGAAAGTGAGGAGCATGCACGACTTGGCACTAGTTAATTATTATATTTTTGCTATCGTGCAGGCAACTGGAGCAAAGGCAGGGACTAAACAAAGATTTACACTAAAGGAGTTAAAGTAAAGCTCTTGTGGAGCTCAGTGTAACGAGGAATATTCTGCTGACTTACTTGATTTTTTAGACAACTTTGCTGCTTCTCTGTTATTAAACTCTTCAACAAGGTCAGGGTATACTTTAGCAAAGAGCTGCAAAATGTAAAATAGAAGCTTAAGATGCACATTGAGTCTTTGAATGAGTTGACTAAAGAAAGCAAGTCAGCTACAGGGATGTACAAAATGTGCCTGCAGTATTCAACTTAAATCCAGTTTTGACAAAATGTTACTGAAAATACTTTATAGAACTCTTCTAGTGAAGCATGTGATTATCTGTCAGGAGAGTAGTCCTAGGCATGAACTTAAGAGGAAAAATTATAGTCTTTCCTTTCCACTTGAACTATTAATTGCCTCAAAACACCCCCTGGAGCCTATACCAAATAGAGGACTAGACATTCCTACAAATGCAGCTCTGTTTATTTTTCAACTTAAGTTGATACAACTAATAAGGTGTTGAAACCCTCTGCTACAATAACCGTGTATGACAATTAAACTTTCTCTATGTTGGATCAAAGTTGATTGTGACCAGTCAAAAAATGGTCAAATAATGTGTAAAAGGGCAAATTTACTTTGCTTTATTTCAGCTGGCCAACACAAGCCCTCTTCAGGTTTATTGAAGGAAAACTTTTGAGAGGTCTGCTAAGATGACTGACAGCAGTGAAACTCAAAACCATTGATTGAGCAGTAAATAATCTTAACAAGAAGTAACTTTGACATTCAATTTACACGTCACGATTAGATGATCATAATAATTTTAATTACCTCTCTGGTTTCGATGGTCACAAAAAATGTGGGGCATGTTTCACCAAGTTGTACATTTTGCCACTCGACTTCATAACATTCTATCTTCTGCTGGATTCGAGCTTTCACTATCCTAAAACAATGAAAACCATACCTTCAGAATGACTGTACAAAATACTGGGATCATGTGTGCTAAAGGCTTCACCGATCGACTCTCGATCGATACTCTCAATCGATACCCTTGATCAACATCTCGATCAGTAATCAATCAACATCCCGATCGATACTTGGTCGACACTTGGTCGACACTTGATCAACAGTNTGATGAAAAAGCTTTAACAAAGCAAGCAAAAAACAATTATCTGCTAAGACATACAGTCAGATTTCCTGACCATATTCTAGGGTTAACTTGTTTTTAGGCTAATCTGCTTCCCAGCCATGTGAGTTTATAGTCTGAAGATATAGAGGAGGGAGGAAAACCAAAGAACCTATTAAAAACCAGCAATGAACTCAACCCAATCACAACATCGGGTTGTTTGTAAGATCATGGTACACCTACCTTGAGCATTAAAGCTTCCTACATCTGTTAATAAATATTATAAGATTATTATTCTTTTATGTTTGCAGACCTGGAGAGGCTTCTATCTGGGTGGCGTGATTTTCCTAACTCTAGTTTCACTGGCACTTCAATTTCATCCTTCTTTCCTTACATCACGCTGGGCTATCAAAAGGCTTCTTCTGTTCAGTAGCTTGGTTGCATATGGTGTGGGTCCTTCACTTCACTGGGTGTTGCTGCTTGGTGGATGGAGTGACTACACTGTGAGGGTATGTGTTGAACTGTAACATAACATGTTCGTCTTTGGCTGGGTTGTTCAAAGCCTGATTAAGCTCACCCCTGATTAGCTAGAATTTTGATTTTTGTCTAACGCTTGTCCTTCTGTTTTGAGTTGGATTAATCTGAAACTACACAACACAAGCAGTGAAAAACATTTTTTTTACATAAAATGATACTTCGTTTTATATATAATCCTCGCTTAGCGTTAACCGGCTTTCAAACAACCCAGCCCCGCTATTGTCTTTCTCTCAACCGGCTTATTTTATAATTAGGTGCTACCCGCTGCTTAGCAACAACTTCTCCCTGAAAAAAGAAAAAAAAGCTCTGTTTCCTGTAGGAATTTCCAGTGACCTTCATTGATGCTATCGCATACATCTCACTAATTTTCCGTAGGAATGCCAACATGCTTTCTTTACATGGAGTCATGTGGAAGCACAGATGTCCAGTATATTACAAAAAAACGGGAATGCAAGCTTTGTACTGTTCTGTTGTTAGCGAGTCATTTAATAGACCAATTTCGATATATTAAAATTCAACCTAAAACAATAGATCTAAGTATGAGGCTCTGGGGAATACCTACAGAGTTTGTTGGGTTTATTTCCCAGAGCCTCATGCTGAGGTCTATAGTGTTAGGCTGAATTTTAATATAATGAAATTGATTTATTGGGCTGTAATTCTATCATCAAGAGCAGTTTTCAAATGAGTGTTGTAAAATCAAAACCAAACCAATTACTTACATGTACCAATTAGATATTAAGTAATCTCAAACCATAGTAAAACCAAACCCAACAAAATTGCCTGATTACTTTTGAGACTCAACTGAAAATTGCCCTAAGGCAATTCTTCATTTGGCTTAACAAGTGAGTAACAATATATTTTATCTTTCAGCTATTTATACCAAAGGTGGCTGTGATGTACTTGCTTGGAGTGTTGGCATTAGGATTTTATGCATTGAAAATACCAGAACGTTATTTCCCAGGTAGTGATTGTGTTGTACTCTAAAATTCTGAAACTGAGCTGGTGCTTACATGTACATGTACACTGTATTCAGATTTTTTTCTGTCCAAGAAAATTATCACTTTTGGCAAATGCTTCTAAAACTGTTATAATAATGATGAATGTTATTTACGTAAGTTGCAAATGATTATAAGTAGTGTATATTTTTTCTTCTGCAGGTAAACTCAACTACATAGGATCTAGTCATCAATGGTGGCATCTATTTATTTTATTAGCTTTTTACTGGTGGCACAGATCAAATGTCATCTACATGAAGTATAGACTGAAGTATCAGTGTTCAACGCATTATGAACTTCCATCTTCTGACGTGCCTTTTGAACTTTAATATTCCCATATATTTTTGTAATTATAAACATACTGAAAAATAAACTAATATACTTTCAATAAAAACTTTTCTTGTTGTTTTTCGTGTTGTTTATCTGCGAAACCATCCTGAATTTGTTTCTTGAGATTGAATGCTAACAAGGCTAATACAAGCCATAATCCCCTCTATGACCCCAAAGAGTGTTACCTAGTCTGCCCTGTCTTTCACTCTTTATGAGGACGGCTCTGAATAACTTCACTTCACCAAAGATCTACAGTATAATTATGTATACTATTGATCCCAGTCAAGCACTGCTGGTTTCAGCCGCTGAATAAAAACAAAAGTGACCAGATGATTACAAACATCTTTTGGCTACAGTTTGCAGCACAGCTGTTGCAAATTCCTCAAAAGTGGCAAGTTCGAGGCAAATCTTATCCATGCAATGAATTTTGCATCAGTCAAACTCTTCTCTGTAACACATCTTGAATTGTATCTTGCTTGAAAGTGAGAAACTCAACAAACTTGCAAACAAACTGTGAAGCACCTTCCCTGACGATGAGATTCACTCATCACATGATCATGACATTCATCATCACATGATCACTTTTTCTGAATCCCTGAATGAAACTAACAGTGCATGTAATGACCCGAAAAAAACAAAAGCAATTTCAACAGACGTCTGGGATCATTAGTATCATTATTATAATAATTATTATTATCATTATCTTTTGTTTGTGCACAAAAAAAAATTAGTAGACACATAGTCCACAATGCATCAGTACTCTTTTAAAGATTTCCTTGTTTGGCTGCCATCTCTATCTTACTCTTTAACACTGTTTTACAGTTTTACTTGTGATAAAACTGAGTTAATTTCAAGTTACACCTAACTCAGGAGTCATCTGTTACTGAAGAAATAGAGTGGAGACTGGCCAACCTTTGCTTTGCACTGAATTGCTTCCCAAGCCGTTTTGACAGTGGAGCAGGCATGTAATCATCAAATGGAGAGGCAGTGTTTTCTTTCCAAGACTCGTATTCTTGGAATTTACCAACACTTTCACAGGAAGAAATTTCATCAACACTGTCACAGTTTTCTTCCTCGTGAGAATCAATTGCTTGCATGGAGGGCTGGAAACTGTTGTCTAAGATTGTATTTGCTGGTTCTAGGACTTTCCTTGTAGCTTTTGTAAGTTCTTCCTTGTTTTTCTTAGCACCAAGGTTGGCATCTCCTTTGAATGAGCTTGTATTTGACTTTGCACATGAAACATCCTGCAAAATACTTGCCAAACAACCTTTACTATTTGTTATAACTTCTCTACCATTTTCTGCGAGGACACTGGTGCAGTCAGTATCACAAGGAAACCCCAATTTGGCATGCTGCAGTGGTGTGTGAAGGAATTTAACCATCTCTGAAGAATCAAAAACATCATGCAATTTGTTCCTTGAAATAGTGCCACCGAGCCTCGTGTCACATGTTTTTGTTCCACCCTCCAACTTCGTTGAGCAAGAAGACTGTTTTATTACAAAAGATTTGTCATCAACTTCTTCATCACTGGACCCAAAGATCTCGATAAGATCAGCATCACTTAGCTTTGACTTTGACGGTTTCTCATTCTGCCTTTGGGTACTCGTAGGACTCTTTCCATGACCCTTGTTGTTGTCTCTAGTCATGACAACTCTTTGAATTCCAGTGCACGGAATGGGTTTTAATTCTTCTAATTTCTTTCTTTCAAGTGATGTCACTGGCCATTCAATAGGCTTATCATTGTTACTGTTCACGTTTCGACTATCATAGTTATAATAATCATCAGTATTAACGCACTCTAACACACGCTTTAGATCTGGGATAGCTTCAACACCCTTCACGGATGAAGTAGCTAATGTTTGAGACTTCTCATTAATCTCAGGCTCATTGTCATGATGCACACTATACATGTATCCTAGACCTTCTGTCTGTAAAGGCTTTAAGTCCCACTGAATGTCATCATCATTGTGATCATCATCACTATCATCACCAACACAACCATCCTCCTCATCATCATCATCACCATCATCAGTCCTTGGGCTACCAATAGCAGCAACTGAAAATTTCCTTTTCATATCATTCCTCATTGCAGAAGGACTTGATTTCTGGATGCCACATGATGAGTGACCATTACTATTTGATGGAAGTATGGAATCAATAATGTCTTGCAGAGATTCATCATTGGAATACTCAGAGACGGCACCTTCTGCAAAATGGTTTTCATTTTGTGCCATGCTAATGTGGCTTTGTTCAGATGACTGATACACACTTAAATCTTCCAGTTGCTTTGAGAGAAATTCCACCTCATTTTCGTAGTCATCAGACACTGATGGGAGCTTGGCAGTTTGCTTCTTTTCTGTAATGAACACAATGATCACAGGTGTTGTTATCAGTGATATTCATACATACTGGCACTAACTTGTTTCTTTGCTTCACATAGTTGTGTGTAGTGACTGGACGACCTGCTTCCAGTACAGTGTACATTCAAACTGATATTACCGGTGTATAGCACTGTCTATATCTGGAACAGGCCAAAGATGCATTGGGCCAAGTGGTCCATATCACCTGAGCTTATTGTAGTTTTTGTAGAATTACTATTAACTGGCTAACAGTATTTCTACTCACCCCACCCCCTTTTGCTGGGTGAGATGGTAAGTCCATCACAAGGTTACCATCAGCATTAATAAATGAAATTATTCTCCAGTGCCAAATGGGGATAGGCACTTTGGGAGTAAAGTGCAAACAACACAAGCACACAACACAATGACCACAGCCATGGCTTGAACCCAAACCACTTCATCTGGAGTTAACAACTAGCCTACTACACCAGATCTCTTATCAAATCAGGACATAGACTCAGAACTATCTAATAATATCTTAGAATGGCACCCATAAGGAATGAAGAGCTGTATGAAGACAGTGGGCCTGAACCTGCCTCCTCTAGAAAGACTTTTCTTTTTTTCTTAGTGTAAAGAGTGATTGGGAGACTGGGATTGAGCAAGAAAGTGTGAGCTGGATCTGGTAGAAAGTGAGGAGCATGCACGACTTGGCACTAGTTAATTATTATATTTTTGCTATCGTGCAGGCAACTGGAGCAAAGGCAGGGACTAAACAAAGATTTACACTAAAGGAGTTAAAGTAAAGCTCTTGTGGAGCTCAGTGTAACGAGGAATATTCTGCTGACTTACTTGATTTTTTAGACAACTTTGCTGCTTCTCTGTTATTAAACTCTTCAACAAGGTCAGGGTATACTTTAGCAAAGAGCTGCAAAATGTAAAATAGAAGCTTAAGATGCACATTGAGTCTTTGAATGAGTTGACTAAAGAAAGCAAGTCAGCTACAGGGATGTACAAAATGTGCCTGCAGTATTCAACTTAAATCCAGTTTTGACAAAATGTTACTGAAAATACTTTATAGAACTCTTCTAGTGAAGCATGTGATTATCTGTCAGGAGAGTAGTCCTAGGCATGAACTTAAGAGGAAAAATTATAGTCTTTCCTTTCCACTTGAACTATTAATTGCCTCAAAACACCCCCTGGAGCCTATACCAAATAGAGGACTAGACATTCCTACAAATGCAGCTCTGTTTATTTTTCAACTTAAGTTGATACAACTAATAAGGTGTTGAAACCCTCTGCTACAATAACCGTGTATGACAATTAAACTTTCTCTATGTTGGATCAAAGTTGATTGTGACCAGTCAAAAAATGGTCAAATAATGTGTAAAAGGGCAAATTTACTTTGCTTTATTTCAGCTGGCCAACACAAGCCCTCTTCAGGTTTATTGAAGGAAAACTTTTGAGAGGTCTGCTAAGATGACTGACAGCAGTGAAACTCAAAACCATTGATTGAGCAGTAAATAATCTTAACAAGAAGTAACTTTGACATTCAATTTACACGTCACGATTAGATGATCATAATAATTTTAATTACCTCTCTGGTTTCGATGGTCACAAAAAATGTGGGGCATGTTTCACCAAGTTGTACATTTTGCCACTCGACTTCATAACATTCTATCTTCTGCTGGATTCGAGCTTTCACTATCCTAAAACAATGAAAACCATACCTTCAGAATGACTGTACAAAATACTGGGATCATGTGTGCTAAAGGCTTCACCGATCGACTCTCGATCGATACTCTCAATCGATACCCTTGATCAACATCTCGATCAGTAATCAATCAACATCCCGATCGATACTTGGTCGACACTTGGTCGACACTTGATCAACAGTCGGTCAATAGTCGGCTGAGTGTTGACCAACTCATATGCATCGATCGAAAATTAGTCGACTGTCAACTGACTGTCAACAAAGATGTCGATAGAGTGTTGATTGAGTGTCAACTGAGGTGTCAATGAAGTGTCAATTGAGTGTTGATCAAGAATATCGATCAAGGGTATCGGTTGACACTTGACCGCGGATGCCTGTAATACTCATTCATGATCCCTGTATTGTTTCCCCCAAGACTAAAAAAGTCAAGTCAAGGAACACAAATCAGGCTGTCCCAAAAGACTGGAGGTGAAGTGGCAATTTTGTGGGAAACTAAATTTTTCTCTCAAGACAAGTCAAGTCAAGTCATCTTTATTTAGGCAGAGTAGCCCCAATGTCATAGCCTGTATCGCAGATGCTCCATACAGGGTAAAATTTTCAATACCTCTCTGGCTGAACAAGCGTTGTGGTGCAATGTTGCAGTGATGATGTCATTTGCCAATATGTGATCAGTAGCAGAACCTAGGAAAAGAGTAGGGACAATTCATTGACAGGAATTTTTTACAAAAGCGATGCAAATAATGAATGTTTTGTCAGGTGCTAATGATGGGGAAATTGTTTTTTCTTAGTTATAAAATTTGCCACTTCAAGGAGATTAGGATCATGTGTACTAAAGGCATCCCCAGTCGAGTATTAATCGATACCCTCAACTGATACCTTTGATCGACCCTTAATTGACCCACCATCGACATCTTGATCAACACCCGATCGACATCTCCATCGATACTCGGTCAACACATGATCAACATCTCAGTGGACAGTCGGTTAAGAGTCAGCTAATTTTGGCAGACATGCCATCAAATGTCAATTGATACCTATGACTTGGTTGACATTGTGCCAACTATTGACCTGTCAATCAAGATATTGATCAAGTGTCCATCGAGGGTTAAACAAGGGTATCGATCAACACCTGACGGCAGATGCCTTTAGTACACATAAGAAAAACAGTTCCGCGAGTTAGCGGGGATTCGAGTTATCGGGGTCGATTGATACCTGCCATGTTAATAATTGATAGTTCACCGATTTGTCAGCACTTCATTATAGAGCATGGTGCAAATAAAAGTTATCTCGTCAGAAATGCATGTGTACTTTTTATAACATTCAGCGCTGTAGCACTGTTTCATCCAGTATGACTCACAAGATTGGGCAATGACTGTCAAATATGTGAAAGGTCGGTTGCAATTGCATTAATTAAAATCGAATTGCTGTGGTGTTAGTTTTGAGTGTTTTTTAACGATTAAACGACCACAAAAGCTAATGGGATCACATCCATGGTGAGTTGCATGAACCAGAATTCAAGTTATCAGAGTAAATTTTTATCAAGGGAAATGAAATTTAGTTCAAGTTAGCGGGGAATTCGAGTTATCCGAGTTCGAGTTAACCGAGTTAAAATGAGTGGGGTCAAATCCAAGGGAAATCAAATGGGACTTGGTTGGAGTTAGTGGGAGAGTTCAAGTAATCCGAGTTCGAGTTACCAGGGTTCTACTGTATTACAAACATTCTAAGTTGCGGCACTATTGATAGTTTTAAGGTGGAAGTAGCTTTCAGATCTACCAAGAGTAGTCTTGTGATGGTAGTGTGGCTTTGAGGTGGAAGTGCACTTTTAGGTGGATAATAATAAATGTTTGTGGTGCAGTGCACATGTAGTTTTGGGTGAGAGAGGCACCCCTCTGATGTAGAAGTGAAGTGATGACAGTGAGGAAGTGGTACTTGCATTTTAGAGGTGAAAAATTTGTTTTCACAGACAGGTGGAAGTGCGCTTATGAGGTGGAAGCTTTTGTGTGGTTTAAAGTGGAGGAGCAGTTCTGTGGAGGTTAAGTAACTAATAAATTCTATACTCTTTTGTGGAGGGTGAGTTTGTTGTGAAAGTGCAGTTTTGTGTGGAAGTGTTGTTTTGAGCTAGCAGTATACTTTTGAGGGTGACATGGAGAAGTCTAGTCAGTGTAAAAGTTAGTAGTCTTAGGGTGAATAATTCTACAAAATTATTGCAACATAAAGTGTCATCAATTCCATTAAACATGTCACATTGATTTGTAATATTAACAAATATAAAATAATGTAAGTAATATACAAGGCTATATTTTATCTCAGTGCATTGAGTTTTTTATAGATTTGTTTTGTTTTGGGGCAATTGTCTACTTGAATAGCAGCCTTTGCTGAATTGTACTCATGGTGAAAGAAAGATTACATTGCATTACCTTATCTCTGGTGTATTCCTCTGGCCATTCCAGATGCTTAAGACAGAATTCCTTGAAGAATTCACAAGTAAATCACTTTTAGCAAGTTGCATATTATTCCAGTTTTGGCTCCTCTCTCTCTAACACAATGCTATGCTCTTCCAAGAGCATAGCCTTGCATGACGGAGAGAAGGCCAGAACTGGACTAGTTGTACAATTCAAGAATGTAATAAAACAATTTGCTTCTCTACTGATGGCATAGTTGGCAGTGCTTTAAGTCCAGAAGTAGGAAGAACAGAAAGAGCAATCTTGATATTAAAGCTTAAAGGCCACTGTTGGTGACTGAAATTTTAACACCCTTCATAGAAGTTATCAGAGTCAAGTGAAAAAGCTCCCTTTAGCTTTTGTGAGTCTTGTTAAGTTTATTCTTAGATTGTTGAAGATATATAATACGCATGGTAGCTCCTTCACAGAGTCACTCCCTTCCTGTTTGTATGCACCACAGAAACAAGTTGCTAATTAAATAAGAGATGCTCAAAAAGATGTTCAAGACTTAGTAGATTATCATTGCATGTAACAGTCACCTGCAGTCCCTGTAGATCTGGATTGGCAATCTTGAGAGAAACACGTTGAGGGACTACTTTTGGAGTCAGATATTCCTGAATGACCTGATAATCAAAAAGGATGGTGCAAAATACTAACTTAAGAAGTCAGTTTCCAAGCTTGTCACCGAAACAGCAGAAGCTGGTACCAACAAACCATACAGTATTCTTCCCTGTGTCAAAAGAATCTCATAGTAAGAACAATTTTCTGATGAGAAAAATATTTGCATTAAATCACCTCTGTCAGTGATCGGTGCATTTACGCAGAAGCATATTTTCTGATTTGGGATGCACGGTGGCCTCATGTTTAGTGCATTTGACTCTGGAGCGAGTGGTCTGGGTTCGAGCCCTGGCCGAGGACATTGTGTTGTCTTCTTGGACAAGACACTTCCCTCTCACAGTGCTGCTCTCCACCCAGGTGTATAAATGGATACCGGCAAATTTAATGCTAGGGGATAAACCTGTGATGGACTAGCATCCCATTCAGGGGGGAATAGAAATACTCCTAGTCGCTTCATGCTACTGAAACCTGGATAAGCTTCAGCCTGATGAGCCACTTAGTTTGTATGCAGACTCGTATGCAGACCTACCTACCTACCTACCTACCTACCTACCTACCTACCTACCTACCTACCTACCTACCTACCTACCTACCTACCTACCTACCTACCTACCTACCTACCTACCTACCTACCATATACTTCTGATTTAATCTTATGATTATAATAGCAAGATTAGCCTAGGATTGGGCCTTTAGGGAAGTAAAAATACTGCTATTATATTTTTAAAATCACTTTCTTGATTGAAAGACATGACTGATAGTGAAAACCTTAGCAGATGTCTGCGGTTGCATGATTTGCAGAGCCAGTGAAAATCATATGGCGCACGTTATGGGCACAATATTTCAATTTTTTTCTCTTAGTACACATGACTCTACTGAGGATTTATAAACACTGATCACTGCATATACTTATATGCTGGTTTAACATTGTTAACTGGTAATGCAAACTATTCATTTGGCGACACAAATCACTGCTTTGATAATTCAAAAGGACCTGTCCATTAAAATTTACATGCTTGTATAATTACTATTTTACCTCAGGATGTGGAAAATTCTTGTCTTTTAAAGCTTTGCTGTTGAGCAAGAAATTGACCATTAAATAGACAGAAGACATTATTAGATTAGCACGCTTTTTAGTTAATAAGATTTGCAAACTACAGTGTGCAGTATACCGGGCAGTGGCTCTTACGATCACTCAGATGTATACATTTGTTGTGATTTTAATTTATTTAGTACTTTTTTCCTGGTTTGGCCTTTGTTTGTTTCACGTTACCAGTTTGAAATAAAATTCTCTTTGTCTGAGAACTGGACACAAGGTTGCACACAATATATTGATGCAGATTACTACATGTCTTTTCTACTATCGTCAACAGGCTATCATTTTTTACATAAAACAGAGTACATGTAGGCAAACAAGATGTGCTAAGAGACGTATCTAGCTGTACACATTCTTAATCTATAATGTTTACCATTTGACAGATTTCTCCACACTTGAAACATTCTCATCTAGTTCTGTCCCTTTAGTCCATTCATAGAACCTTGAATGTAGAACGGAAAACATATTACTAAAATTATAAAATGTGTCTAAATATTTTCATATATAGACAAATGGTATTTAATTCTGGGAGGTCTATTCCCCCTGGATGGGAGACTAGTCCATCACAGCATTACCCCCCTCCCCCACATCCCCCAGCATCAAATTCACTACTACCCATTTATACACCTGGGTAGAGAGAGGCACTGTGAGAGTAAAGCGTCTTGCCCAAGAACCCAACACAATGTCCCTGACAAGGGCTTGAACCTGGAATGCTTGAATCTGGTATTGAGCACAATAACCATGAGGCCACCACGCCTCCAAGTCTTAAATTCCAAACAGCTCAAGGTCAATATATGTGATTTTTTAATACACACTATATTCAACATAGTATTAAAATGGTTCAAGTAGCAGAGCACATTTCCATATTAAACCTCACAGGTGTTGTTACGAGCTTTCCAAGACTTATAAGCTTTAAAATCTTCAGTTCATTCTCAAAGACTGGGTCAAATTGGGCATCATGTAAAGAACCAGCCATTAATTTAAAAGTCACCGCCAGTATCAAATTCATTAAATGCAGTTCTATGCAATTTAACAGAGTTAACAACAACGAGGGCCTGTGTTTCCATGGTAGTCAGAAGAGCTTTTGATATGTGCATGTACCAGGATTTCATGTGCTCTTGGACTGACATGTGTTGCCAGCCTTCACAGCCATAGCATTAACAGTGAACGTTGTTTTGCATGGGAAAACATCTTCAAGCATTCCCCCTTCCTTTCCTCCCACTTTCCATTGTTACTTCAGTGTGATGGGTCTCTCCCTCCTGCATGGGGGCTCATGCCTCGGTTTCAAGGATTTGCCAACCATGGGAGCGGTCTTCATCTAGGAGCTGGCTGCCAATAGTGGAGGCTCCTAGATGTCTCAGGCACCCAACCTCTATTAAGCAATGTAGTTGTTAACAGAAATTAAATTTACATGTTTTATTCCCACCCATAGGTAATAGCCAACCTCACCTGTCAATTAAGTGACTCTGATGAACATTTTTCATTAGTCTCATAGAAATTTCTTTTCCAACTCCTGGCACACCTTGAGGGAGATAATCACAGCCAAGAAGGATTCCAAGAGCAACCAGCTTCTGCCTGTTGAGATCTGAAAAAAGGGTTGCACAAACCTTACATTAATTATTAATAGCTACATGTATTAGGAACCCTTTAGGGAGGCTTTCTACTCATTTTAGGGGCTCCTTTCCAAATTCCTGATACTCAACCTTGACACTTTTAAAGGGGCACCCTCTCCTAAGGCTGTGCTCTTCTAAATGGCAGGCAGCCCTCCCTCCCACTTATCTAAATCCTATCCCAGGCAGAAAGCAGGGTGTCCAGCAGCATGGTTGTTCAGAAAAATAGGAAAGTAGGAAACTCATGATTGAAAAAGATAGGAAACAATAGGAACTGGACACCCTGAAAAAGGTCCATCTATATGTTGCCAGTAATTTGAATCTATAATGTGACAACTATGATGCCAGATTACTGCAATACATACTTAGCTTGGTCTCAATCTCTTCCATTCTGTAACACTCAACTGATGCATCCTGTAACACAAGAAAAAAACATTAATTTATCTGGACCACATGTCTCCTTATGCAAGGGGTTACAGGCAACATTGTAATGCCCTTTCAAAGATAAAGAAGGCACGAAAACTAGGCAGCACCCATGATTCAAATTGAACCCTCTGACACCTGGTAAGTACGTCTCAGGTAAAATAATAACATGATATCTGTAAGGTAGCACTGACAATAATTAATTGGTTTGAAGGTATCTTACCTTCCCACTGATACAGAGATCTTTGTAGACAGTTCTGGCTCCATATAGGAATGCATCTCCATCATTAGTTATACAGCCATCCACAATCTGTGATTTACATAATTTTTTCAAATGTGGTTAAATGTAATTTAGTTGAGGATGACTTGAGCCAATGCTGGTAAGTGGCCCATTAAGGACAGCCATGCTCTTTGGGGTCTCATATAGGGCTTACACTGTATGTGTTTCTCTTGCCAGCTATGTAAGAAAAGCTGTCATGTATTCTGCAAAATACCTTTGTCTTACCCTTACCACATCAAGAAGAGTTTGATACTTCCTATAATGACCTGAGGCTCTACCCGAAAGGGGACCTTTTCCAGGCTTCAGGTATATGAAAGGGTAGGGATTTCACAAGTTGAGGTATATGAAAAGGTAGGGAAATTTGTCATTTCATGATTTTAAAGGGCCTCTAAACAGAAATATATTTCAAACAGATGTACCTTATGGCTGTAACAATTTATTTTAGTAAATTGAAAGCACTACATGAAAATGACTCCTTTTTTGGGGGATATTTTCATAATGCAGGCCAATTATGAAAGCATTTGAAAGGGGTACCCTTTTGCAATAAAAGGTATACATAAGTCAAATGGGTACCTATTTTGTCAAAATGGTATACAAAAGGGTAAGAGGTTGGACCTTGGGGCAGAACCTTCCAGGCTGTATAAAACTTTGTAGAGTATTCCTCCACCCCCCCACCACCTACCCACCTCCAGGTCAACATCAAGACAATATCTCTGCCATACACTGTTCAGTAGCTGCTATATTTCCACTATTCCTGTCACCTGTCTGTTATGATTGATCATTACAAGCCAAAATTGATCACTCTACCTGGTGGAGATCAAGCCAGGCACAGAGTGCTTCAGCTTCTCCTGCACTCTCAATACACGGCACACCCAAAAGGTTTAACAGAGTACGACACTGGAAATAACATAAAAGTTTTCATCAGTCATACTATCTGCAGCCTCTGGTTTTGGTCATTTAAGAGCTGCCACCCAAGGGATTTTGAATAAGGTGTCCTTGTGTGCGCGCTCGTGTGCGTGCTTCTGCATTCCATGCGTACTTTGCAAGGTTCATATCTTTTCCCTAAGCTATATACCTCTATATACTAACCAAGTTCGAGGTCCATACTGTAAGTTAGGGACTGAGTTTTTTCCCCTTCGATTTATGGCCCAAGCACAAAGCGCGCGGGTCATAAATTGAAGGGGAAAAAACGAGGATCTGTACCTGACAGTACGGACCAAGAAGACGAGGTTAGTAAGATATTTATTATATCTCTACTGTGATCCTGACGGGTTCGGAAACAATTTCTGTTCACACGGACTCGGAAAGGCTTCAAATTTCTGACGCACCTCGAAAACAAAACGAGTCAGTTTGAAACTGTTTTTAATTCATTAGTACGCTTTATTACATAATTTAGAGCACACAAAAGTGTTAAACTTTCACTGGCTATAAAAGTTAAGAACACTTAAGTAGCGATAAATCATGAAACAGTTTGGCAACAAAACCAACTTTAAATTTTAGCGGGCCGTTCAGGATAGTACGGCCCGCTAAATTGACCAATCACAGCGCGCGTACTAACTGAGAGATATAATAATGTAAGAAATGTGTATTAAGTGTAGAGTAAATAAAGCATTGCTGTTGTTGTTGCTCATGATCAATCAACTCTTCCAGACCTATGGCGGTACTCAGCTGTTCGCATCGTTTTTTCGCAATAAATAAACGTCAAACAGAAGTTTCGATGTAAATCAAACATAAAACAGAATGACATTTACCTCTCTCACCCAGACCGCGAAGTGAGATCGACCAACGCGGGCTCCTGAACCAGCCTTTCCCCTCCAGAACTGCCCACCATTTCTTGCCTGAACCCTCTTGGCGATTGCGTTCCATTTCAATTCAGGTGGTTTACCGTCCACGACAAATACCAGCTTCACTCCAAGTCGCGTTAAGTGAAGCAAACGAAAGAAGAGGTTTCTAAGATGAGGTTTACTGACGTTTTGTTTCAGACCTTTTGCGCATTGCGCCTCGCAAACCCATCCACTTAAATCAACACAAAGTGTCTTGCTGCTAAGCGCAGAGAGGTTCTCCTTTCTCTTAACTGGCTCCAGGATACTCCATAGATGATTTACTCCCATCTGAACTGCCACAAATAATTTGACGAGTACGATTAGACTCCACATTCAACCTCCCGCCATTTTACCGTAAATACATTAGAGTCCAGGCTTTCTCGTTTGATCACATGTCACCACCTTGCACTTAGGTGTGTTGCGTGACAAATTCAGAGCATGACAAGACCCGGCGTGCCCAGTCGATTATTAAAAACCGATAATCAATATAAGGCTAATATAATCGATATCAATCAATGTAATCGATAATAATTAATGGATTAATATCGGAAATCGATGAACAAAAAAGTTGTGAGTATCGATTTTCATCGATTCCCATCGATATTCATCAATTTTATCGATTTCTCTTGTTTCATTTCAATTTCAGCGAAAACAAAATGGATAAGAGATTTGCTTTGTTCACGATAAAAGAACGGAAATTGTCAAAGAAAATTTATATTAATTGTTGGAGCCCATTTTCCTTTGATCGACTTAATTGCTCTCATTCACGTTTTTTAACTCTGTAGGACGGTAGCATCATACGGTTAATGAAGTATTTAACGTCTCAACATCAATGACAAGTTTATTGTGTCATTAATCGCTTAGCTTTTCATAAAGTCACCTGGACATTACTTAAGTTGATGGTGGAAACTTTTGCTTGAGCTTAACTGAAAGGCAGATTTCATGTGCCTTAACAATCACGTACACCAGTACCTCGAAAAAAAACAACTTGCACATTAAAGACAATAACAAGTTACATATGTACCCAAGCATAAACGCATCCAAGAAACTCAAAAACAAATCGAAAATGAATAATGTAATACGATAATCGGTTTCCTTTCCTTTCTGTCATCAAGGTAAAATATAACAGGGGGGGGGGGCATCATCTTAACATTTCTTCTTGAACTTCTTTCAAGACTTGCCAATGACAAGCAATATAATCAATAGCAATTACAAAGATTTGAATTGTGAGTATCGATTTTCATTGATTAATTGAGGAAATCGATAATAATCGATTAATTATTATCGACTATATTATTCTATTGATTGCCTTCCAATGTTCAATTTTCATTGATTATGCATGCTGGGCAAGAGGAGAGTCGGTGAATTAAATTTTCAAGTGTGACGCAAAGCAAAGTCTGCAACATCTGTACAGCAAACTGTTAACATCATGTCCCAACTGTCTTGGGGTTGTACAACATTAAGCTTTGATTATCCTGAAAATGGGCGATTCCAGAAAATATTCGTACCTACACCAGGACAGCTGTCAGGAATTCAAAGGGTAAAGGGGGCTCTTTGAACTAGTACTGGAATTCCAAAGGTATGGGGGGTGTGCTGCTGCACTTACAATAAATTGGAAAGCCAAAGGCATGGGAGAGGGGGATTTCAGATCTGGAATTTCCAGAGGGAAAGACAAAGAGTGTGAAATAGCATGTAACCTACCATTTGATTGTTCTGTTTGTTTGTTCTTCATTTAATGCACCAAGAAGGAGATTAATACTTGTATGTAGGGCAGGTTTTTGTTTCTTGAATATCTCAAGACTACACAGCACTCTGAGAAATTATGACAAGCTTAATTAGCTCACTCAGTCAATCACAGTAATTATATTTACCTGGAAGATTCAAGTAAAAATATTGGCATTATTAATCAATGATCAATTTTATAATGTAATGAACAAAAGTAGTTTTTTAGTGCAGAGTGCACTATTGGGATGGTTATGGGGGTTGCCTGCCACTAAGGAACTAAGGCACTATGGCGCTATGCCGCTATGGCCCTATGGCCCTATGGCGCTAAGGTGTAAACTTTAATGTTTGTTTAATTAATTAATTTCAAT